GCAGTGGTATCGCCAATATCCAAACTCAGCTCCTGAATACCTTTTAGTCATAATGCATGCTACAGGGCAAGTTTCTCATAAGTCTAAACTTGTAGATCAAGATCCTCGATTCACTGGAAAACTGAATGAAAAGAAAACCTATGTGATTCTGGAGATCTCCTCTGCTAAAGTGACAGACTCTGCAATGTGCTACTGTGCTCTGACACTCACAGTGAGAGGAAAACACTACACACCATACAAAAACCTGACTGACTTGAAATTAGATGTTGCCAAAAACAACAGTATCCATACAAATTAATATGTCAGTTATAGTTTCTGATGTTACATTCAAATTCATATTTAACTACACATTTTCTGGCTGGTTAGGATTTCTGTACCTTTACCGTATGTACCGTATGCACTGGTTTAGTGAATTCTAATTATTAAATAAGACCATTTATATGAACATTAATATCATATCAAACTATATTCCCAGATGTGCCATCATGTTTAAAAAAATAAAGCAATAAATAAAGTAAAAATGTATAATCAATCATATTTTGCAGATAAACAATATTTTAATTCGTGGATGTTGTCAATGGGGAATACATTTTATACCACCACTGGAGGGCACTGGAGTACAGGCACAAACCTCACTATTAAATACTGAACATTCTCAATCCATTAAATAGACTCTGTTTTTACTTTGAATGATCCTTATAGTAACATCTTGATAAAACTGAATTAGTGGAGGAAGATACTTCCTCAACTATTACTCAAGTAATTTTAGTTGTAACAGTTAATTTTAAGATATTTGTACAGTGAAGGCTCAATCATCTCAGCTTTTAATAAGGAAAGACAGAAAAGGTGATCTAAATAGACCACACCCACACTGCAACTTGCACAACGAGATACTACAATCATACATTCATTTCATAAATCAAGTTAGTAAACCTTCCAAACATGGCGAGATGCTTTTTACTGATTCTCATAACAACACCAGGTATAGAATGTTTAATCTGAGCAGACTCAAATACATTGTACATTGAAATGTTTTGTCCATGCAAACATTTTTTAATGTTACTTTATTACAGTAACGACATCACATTTGTTGAAGAAATAGTTTTTATTATTGCAATTTTAATTTAGAAGTGTGAGGAATTTTTAAATAAGCCAGCTGACCTGTTGTGAAATCTGTCCAATTTTCTTGCAGGTGTTTTGTCTGACAGCATTCAACCAAAAGACAAGGAAACTCAAATTTACAGAAAAGAAGAAGAGCGTGTAGCGCTGAGCTGCTCGTATGATACAGGAGGCAGTTATGTCTATCTCTACTGGTACAGACAGTTTTCTAATAGAGAACCAGAATTTTTACTGTGGAAAGGTGCTCGATCAGGGAGCAGTTCTGAATATATACCAGACACTCGTTTTCAGTCGACTACATCTCAAACATCCACTGAACTCATTATTAAGAGTGTAACACTGTCAGATTCAGCTCTCTATTATTGTGCTCTAAAAGTAGAGGCCCAGTGATACAAAATGCCTGAGAAGCTTTACAAAAACTCAGATGTAGTTTTTGCCTTTAAAAAATGAAAAAAATAAATAAATAAATAAAAATTAAACCACAATCATGTCTTGTGTAA